CATCCAAATGGCCAGTAGGTGCATGAAAAGATGTTCACCGCCACTGATCATCGGGGAAATGCAAATCAAACCCACAACGAGCTATATCACCTCTCACATGTTAGGGTGGTTATTATCAAAATATAAAATATAGCAAGTGTTGGCAAGATGTGGAGAAAAGGGAACCCTTGTGTAGTATTGATGGGAATATAAACTGGTGCAGCCACTGTGAAAAAAGTATAGAGGTTTCTAAAAAATTGAACTACTATATGATCCAGCAATTTCACTTCTGGGTACATAACTGAAGGAAATTAAATCACTATATTGAAGAGATATCTGCATTGTCATGTCCGTTGCATCAGTATTTACAACAGCCAAGACATGGAAATAACTTCAGGGTCCATCAACTGCTGAATGGAGATAAAGAAAATGTGTGTGTGTAATATAGCATATGTATGCATAATTGTAATTATACATAAATTACATATATAATTCACACATGTACACACACAATGGAATATTATTCAGCCATAAAAAAGAAGGAAATCCTGTCATTTGCAAGTTTAAGAGATCTAATGTACAGTATGTTGACTACATTTAAGAAAACTGTATTAGATACTTGAAAGTTGTTATGAGTCTTAAAATTTCTCACACCAAAACAAACACAGACAAAAGAAAAAATTGAATTATATGAGGTGATAGAGGTGTTAACTTGGTCATCACTTACCAATATATATGTATTAACTTATCACATTGTACACCATAAACTTATACAAATTTTTTTAAGATTTTATTTATTTATTTGAGAGAGAGAATGAGATAGAGGGAGCATGAGAGGGGGGAGGGTCCGAGGGAGAAGCAGACTCCCTGCTCAGCAGGGAGCCCGATGCGGGACCCGATCCTGGGACTCCAGGATCATGACCCGAGCCGAAGGCAATCGCTTAACCAACTGAGCCACCCAGGCGCCCAAAACTTATACAATGTTATGTGTCAATTACATATCAGGAAAACTGGGGAAAAAAGAATTATAAGGAAATATGCTATAATAAACTGACAGAAATGGATAAAATTTATAAATTTCTCATTAAAATAACAACTTTTCTAAACTTAAGTATCCATCTACATAGAGAATAAGCATTTATATTCTGAGATTACCTATGTACCTGGAGGTGATTTATTTTTAATCACTGAATTAGGAGTAACTTGAGAACCACTGTAAATTTTGAATCAGGTGAATTCTATAATATTGTTAGGTTTAAATATTATTAATTCTAGACCAATTTTAAGAAATGACTTCCCTGTTGGCATTAATTGAATTTTGTAAACAGAGTTTACCAATACAAATACTTCTCTGCCAGTGACTAATATAGAAAGGCAAAAATTAATGTTATAGTTCATTTGTTTTACCAACGACGCCAGGTATAGAAAGGAATTTGACTGTGAATCTCAGCAAATTTGAGTATTGCCCAATAAAGTTAGTCAATGGATTATCAAGAAATTAGAATCTTCAATGTACATCAGTGTCCTTAAGCAAATGTTCACAAGGAAGACATTTAAAACTAGACAAGTTTATTATTTGTTGCATCAAAGGACAATACACACCATGGGAAACATGAGTATTTCAGTAAAAGGTTTATTAGATGATTTGGGAGAGGGCCTAAGGAAACAGAGTTTTGTTCTAGACTGAATGCTGTCATAAATCAGGGGGAATTCTATAATTCAGTATCTCAATGATGAGGGAGCAGAAGGCTAGTTGAGGACGAAGTACAAGCTGACACCTTGCAACCTCCCCTCAACCTCCACTCCTGGGTGGGATATGTGTGATATTCTTCCAGGAAGCTCCCTACTGTCTTAATGTTACTGCTTTACTAGAGGGAAAAACAACCTTAACTTGACAATGGCAAGGCCTCCAGTATCTTTTGTAGGTCCTCTTTAGCATATGAAAGTTCTTTTGAAAACCTCCCTTTTTCCTTACCTCCCCCAACCCCATAGTATATAATCAATTGCCCCTGACAACCCCAGGACAGCTCTTTTTGTTTGTGGATCCTGTCCCTATGCTTAAATAAAACGACCTTTTTTGCACCAAAGGCTTCTCAAAAATCCTTTCTTGGTGGTCAGGACCTCACCTTGTCTGGACCTCACCCCACTGAACCTCACCTATAGTCCAAAAACCACATCATCAACACATCTCATATACAGGAAAGGGAGACTAGAATGAAGATAAATTTGTAATTCGTACTGAGGTAGCAGTCACTCATTTTAACCAAGAGAGGGGATAACTTCAATCTTGTCTGTGCTTAGACAAAACTGTGAAATGTCTTTGTTTGGTCTTATTTTATCATAGTTTTAGAGTATCCTTATCTGAGTTTGGTACATTGCAAGATTGTTTATGACCAAATGGAGAACAAAATAGCTAGCTAATAATAACACTGACATTTAGCTGTGAACATCAGATCAGTTCCAGATATCAGATGCTAATTTTATTTTTCTCATTAAGAACAAGTCTTCATTTTAACGCCATGATGTGAGAGCAACTAAGAAGGGTCCTGCCACCCGCCTTCACAAGTTGGCAATGTTAGTTGGATTCGAGTCACCAACAACAGGCAATGCTATCACTTTGGTTTCTATCATAGGTTGTCACTAACTTTCTGTTCATTGGTAATTCTTTTTCTTTTTCTTTTTTTTTAAAGATTTTATTTATTTATTTATTTGAGAGAGAGAGAGAGAGAGAGAAACAGCATGAGAGGGGAGAGGGCCAGAGGGAGAAGCAGGGTCCCCACTGAGCCAGGACCCTGATGTGGGACTCGATCCCAGGACTCTGGGATCATGACCTGAGCCGAAGGCAGTCGCTTAACCAACTGAGCCACCCAGGTGCCCCGTAATTATTTTTCTTAAAAAATTTTTTTTTCATTTTCCTGCTTTATAAGCAATACATTTTGATTGTTAAATATCTAGAAATTATAAATAATGAATAATGAAAACCATCTCTCATTACACCAGGCAGAGAATTGTAAATATTTTGGTTTGCATAGGTGACTCAAAAATTAGTGGTTTCCCAATTATGAAAGTTTTAAACTTGCTTTTGTGAAAGGTGAATGTCAATGGAGTCACTTATGTTAAGGAGTTTTAAAATGTAACTGGGAAGCCATTAAGGAAGTGAGCTTCATGAATGTTCTCGGGGACTGAAACCATGAACTTCAAAAGGGGCCAAACTGCAAATATACCAAGGACACTGCCCAAATACTTGTAAATTGCTACAGTAGGACTGCTTAGTGATGTTCTCAGCACCCAATTATATTCAGATTAGATCAGTTTTCTGCCACCAACACTAACCAAAATTCTTTGTAAACAACACATTTTGTCTTTAAAACCCTTGACTTTCGTTCCCTAGGGGGACACAATTTGGGTTGCCACCCAAATCTATGCTCCCTGAATTTCAATTCTGAGAGCCTAAATAAATGCTTTTGTTTTATTTAAATTCTGCCTGTCTTATTGGTTGATATTTAAAAAGAGGATGCTCTAGAAAAAATTCTTGCTTCTGATAATCATGTGGACTTACTGCTTTCTTCCATGTGTATATGTGTGTATGCATGTACATAAATTTTCACCGAAGTATAACCAAGAGAGTTAAATGAATTTTTACTAAGTGAACATGCCCATGTAATCACCATTTAGATCAAAACATAATGCAGGACAAACCCCAAGAGTCTTTCTTATGCCCTTTCCAATTACTCTCTCACAACCTTCTAGCTTTTTCACCAAGATACCCTTAATGGGACTTCTAATGCAATAGACATCGTTCCTGCTTTTCATTTCATATGAATGTATTATCTGTGAATAATGAATATTTTATTTCTTATGGGCCACTCATTACACTTCTTTTTTTTTTTTCCTGTATTTTGTACCAAATAAGACCTCTGGTATGATGTTAAATAGAACTGATGATAGCAGGCAGCCTTGTTTTGTTCTTAATTTCAAGGGAGGGAAGATGTTTTTAACTGTTCACCATTAACTATGATGTTAATTGTGTTTTCATCAGTGGGTTGTTTCCTCTCTGAATTAATAACTTCCTTCAATATTTACATTCATGTCAGTCTTCTGGTGAAAATTTCTGCCAGTGTTTGTACTTTGCTTTCCTTTTTGAAGAATATTTTTGATGAATATAGAGCTCTAGTTTGTCAGTTATTTTATTCATCACTTTGAAGATGTCATTCACGGTCTTCTTTTACTCTATTTCATTTTTTCATTTCTTTTGGTGGGTTCTTTTCTCCATTCTTTTCTTTTGGTTGCAGGTTTGACTTTCTTTGTGCTTACCTTGCTTAAAGTTCATAGCAATCTTGAAACTGGGGCTTGATGTCTTATTAGTTTTAGAAAATGCTAGACTATTATTACTTAATATATTTTTGTGCCCCATTTTCTCTCTGCTTACCTCCTTGTCAAGTTTATGTATTTTAGATATTTATGTCTATATATCTTGTATGTTCTTTCCTGTATGTTGCTATGTATTTGCTACTTCCTAAATGTACTCTGGGTATGCTCTATGAACTTAAAAACAAAATCTGAATGACAGCACACCTGTTTACAACATGGTTTGGTGAATATTTTAAGCTCATTGTTGGGACCTATTGCTCGGAAAAAAGGATTCCTTTGAGAATATTACTGCTAACTGACAATACTCTTGGTCACCGATTGTTTTGATGGAGATATACAATGAGACTAGTGTTTTCCTGCCTGCTAACACAACATCCATTCTGCACGCCACAGATCAAAGATCAATTTCAACTTTCAAGCTTTATTACTTAAGAAATATATTTCAAAAGTTTATAGCTGCTATAGAGACTGATTCCTCTGATGAATCTGGGCAAAGTAGATTGAACACCTTCTGGAAAGGATTCACCATTCTTGATGCCATCAAAAACATTTGTGATTCATAGAAAGAGGTCCACATATTAGTGTTAACAAGAGTTGGGAATAAGTTAGTTTCAACCCACAAGGATGACTTTGAAGGGTCATGGAGACCCATGTCCATCAACGAGGTCATTCTGTCGGCGTCGGGGGCCTGTAAACTCATCAACTCGCTGCACTCCTACTGCTTCTCCTCCCGACAGAACAAGAGCCAGGTGTGCTGCCTGCGGGAGCAGGTGGAGAAGAAAAACGGCGAGCTGAAGACCCTGCGGCAGAGGGTCAGCCGCTCCGACAGCCAGGTGCGCAAGCTGCAGGAGAAGCTGGACGAGCTGAGTAGAGTGAGCTTCCCCTACCTGAGCAGCCTACTGCCCTTCAGCCGCGAGCCCCCCACGATGAACCCCATGGTGGAGCCCCTGTCCTGGATGCTGGGTACCTGGCTGTCAGACCCACCAGGATCCGGGACCTTCCCGACGCTGCAGCCTTTCCAGTACCTGGAGGAGGTGTACATCTCCCATGTGGGTCAGCCTGTGCTCAACTTCTCGTTCAACGCCTTCCACCCGGACACACGCAAACCCATGCACAGGGAGTGTGGTTTCATCCGCCTCAAGCCCGACACTAACAAGGTGACCTTCGTCAGCGCCCAGAACACAGGCATCGTGGAGGTAGAAGAGGGCAAGGTGAATGGGCAGGAGCTGAGCATCACGTCCCACTCCATCGCCAGGATTTCCTTTGCCAAGGAGCCCCACGTGGAGCAGATCACCCGAAAATTCAGGCTGAATTCTGAAGGCAAACTTGAACAGACAGTCTCCATGGCGACCATTACCCAGCCCATGACTCAGCATCTTCACATCACCTACAAGAAGGTGACCCCGTGACCCCGAGTGTGTGTCGTGACCCTTCTTCGGCTTCTCCGTAGACACTCGCAGCAGGTGCGGGTGTGGCCACAGGCCTCGTGGGTTCCAGAGTATTGCCACGGGTTCCTGTAACAGCGTAGAAAAACCAAATAAAAGGCCTTTATTTTTATGACTGAGGAAAAAAAAAATGTTAACAAAACTTCAGTGGAACAAGTAACACAGATATAATGAAAACTGCAAGAGAACTAGAATTGAAAGTGGAGCCTGAAGATGGGACTGAATTGCTACAATCTTATGATAAACCTTTAACAAATGAGGAGTTCCCTCTTATGGATAAAGAAAGAAAGGGGTTTCTTGAGATGGAATCTACTCCTGGTGAAGATGCTGTGGAGATTGTTGTAATGACAACTAAGGATTTAGAATATTACACAAACTTAGTTGATAAAGTAGAGGCAGATTTTGAAAGGATTGATTCCAATTTTGAACTAAGTTCTACTGTAAATAAAATGCTATCAAACTGCATGTCATGGCACAGAGAAATACTTCCTGAAAGGAATTTAGGTGGTAAACTTCATTGTTGTTTATTTCTTTAAATTGCGACAGCGGCCCCAACTTTCAGCAATTCTGTGAAGGAACCATCAATCATGAGGCAAGACCCTCCAGCTGCAAAAAGATTATGGCTCACCAAAAGCTCAGACCATTGTTAGCATTTTTTAGCAATAAAGAGTTTTTAAATTATGGAATGTACATTGTTTTTTAGACACAATGCTATTGCACACTTGATAAATTACAATATAGTGTACACATAACTTTTGCATGCACTAGGAAACCAAAATATCCATTTGACTCACTTTACTGAGACATTTACTTTATTGTGGTAGTCAGGAGCAAAGCCTACAATATGCCTGTAATAACATTTGCCAAATCTGAAAATCAGGAGAAAACAGACTATCAGGGATCTGTGGAACAACAACAACATTTCAAATTTTATATCACCAGAGTCCTAGAATTGTAAGAGAAAAACAACAGGGTTAAGAGAGTAACCAAAGAAATAATTGCTGAATCCTTCCCAAAATTGGTGAAAGACACAAATATACTGATTAAAGAAGCTGTGAGAAGCCCAATTTAATAAGCTCTAAGAAATCCATGCTAAGACACACTATAATTAAACTGCTGAAGACTAAAGATAAAGAAAAAAACCCTTAAAAGTAGCCAGAGATAAATGACATATTATTTACAGTGGACTATAGAAAAGACAGAGAGAAAGATGAAATTTAAAACTTCTTTTGGTAGATCATATTACTTCTCAGAATGTTCAGTCTCCCTTTATAAATAAAGCTCTTTGCTGCAGAAAAATTACACATTTTAAACCATGGAATTAAGACTAGGCTCATCTGAATTACTTTGCCAAATGGAATATAAGCATAAATAATGTGTAACGTGTGCCACTTAATTTTAAGAGCCATCTTATGATCTGCTACTTCTCTCATTTCCCACTGCTTGGACCCTGAGTCCCAGAATAAAGACGTGCAGCTGACCCATGAAATAATTGCTTTCTGTAGAGAAATTCACCGTTGTTGCTGCATACAGTTAACATTTGGGTTTTTTTGTTTTTTTTTTTAATCTAAAGTAGCCTAAGCTGACTGATATCCTTCATTTTAAGTGCTGGGTCCATGTGGTTATTTGAAAACTAGGACAGATTCAGGTTCACAAGTTTGAGCATGAGTGGAAGATGTCTGTCCCCATAAATATATGTTCCTGCTATGTTGAGCCTCCAGTTTCAATAAACAGAAATGTTTAATTTAAACTGCATGTATTATGAAAATAATTATTATATGTATATTCATGGCCACCTCTCTTTTTCTTTTTTTTATTTGTAAATTACATCATTTTTTGTGTGTGTGAACTCTTATTACATCTATAACCATTGCCATTTTAAAGTCTTGTCATTTCCAGTCCAGTATTCCCTTACTCTCAATTATTCTTTGAAAATATTTACAATCAACTACAGGCAAACAATGTTTCATGTCCAAAGAAATTCATGAAAAAGACCCAGACAAGTATTCTAGAACACAGATTTCTGATCTTTATGATCTGAACATTGAACTGGGTAAGAATTTCTAAAAATCTAATGGAAAATTGATTGATTCATAAAGCTGTTAACCCAAGAATAAGAAAAACAAGAAATGATTACTTGAGACTGGATGAACTGATGAAGATGATTACAGTTTTTAATGACTTCGTTTAAAACACTGTTGGCTCTTTAATGTTTTGTTTTCGAGGTTTTAAAAGATCTTTTCTTCTCCTTTCTTTTAGGCTATCTATAACTTGCAGGAATTTGGAAAAGCATAGTTTTGAAACATTTATATTTTTCTCCAGACCTGATCCCTCCAGAATTCAAAAACTCGTATTAAATATTCTTATTTTTCATGGCACAGAGTATATTTGCATATGGTCAATAAGAATCTGTTCTCTTGGGGCCCCTGGGTGGCTCAGTAGGCATCTGTCTTCCACTCCGGTTGTGATCCCAGGGTCCTGGGTTTGAGTCCTACATCAGGCTCCCTGCTCTGCGGGGGCCTGCTTCTCCCTCTCCCTCTGCCTTCCTCTCTCTCTCTCACTCTCTTAAAATCTTAAATCTAAAAGAAAAAGAATCTGTTCTCTTTGTAGTAAGACACAATTAGGTAAATCTTTAGCTTGGCTTCTTAGCCTAAAGGGACTTTGCAAGGTCTAATCTGAGATTCCTTATTACCAAATAATTTTAAAGAAATAAGGTTGATTTTATGGAGCCAATAAAGCTCCTAAATGTTAACAAAACTTTGACTGGAATTTCATATTTGAGAATACGCATTGAATCATTCTTGTTACATTTATGTAAATAATCAGGAGAAGCCTAATAAGACGACTTATTTTACAAACAATTTACTTTGACTGTAATTATCTTTGATAAAAAATGAAATGATTATAGAAAACTGTGTTTCACTAGAAAACTAGTGTGTCCATTCTCAGATTCTAGTCCTGTTGTCTTTGAGGTCTTATTCTCCACTTGTAAACTTCAGCGAAATCACTACAATAGATCACATACAGGCAAACTTCATGTCTGTTGCTGTATAGACCACTCAAGAGAATTAAGCAGAAATCAATGACATTATCAAAAACATTCAAACTACAAATTAGGAAAAATCCATCAAGTTGAAACTGACATCCTCATTCCATCACCTAAAAGTGCTTCAAACTCAAATCTAGAAACTTTCTCAACTAGCTGTGCAAACTCAGAAACTGAGTTTATACTTTGAACAGTTAACTTTAGCTTTTCTTTTGTTTCTACAGAAATGCTTCTTATTAAACTAACTGCTTGTTCACATCATATAGAGGCCTATTTTAGGTGGAAGCTGACTTGTAACACCATCTCCTGAAATCAAACTTCTTCATGTTCATCTATCTTAAGAAATCATAAAGATATGTGATTGCTGATACATCATGCAGTGCCTATGTAAATAACTCAGAAAAAATTGAAAACCAATTATACATCGCTCACAAAAATGTAGATGGATTTATAAAGATAAAGCCTGAATCTAATTATAACCCACTTGTTTTATTTAATTGATTGTCTTGGCTCCTGGGGATCCCAGCTTTGGGGCATTTTTCAAACCTTGGCTATTATTTTCTTTAGAGTCACTATATTAAGCTGTCTAGTATGCTATATCCTCTGAAGGCATTTAAATTATGTTCAGCAGCCACTCACACATCAAATGATATCCATCAGGACTAGCCAACAGGAAGAACTCAATGATCTGACTTGTGTCTACAATGACAATGCAAATATCGGTCATGGTGACTACATGACCATCAGTGTTGACACTCAACCAGCAGAAACAGCATATATGATGCTTCAGCCTCACCACATCAACAGTGGTGACTGGGAGTGACGCTGTACTAGATGGTCATGCTTACAGCGTACTGAGGAAATGACCACATGGGGGGAATTGTTAAAATTAAATACAAAATGGAGACCAGACTTGAAAATTCCCTGAATGGACAAAACCACTTCAGCCACATAAATGAAACTTCACTTAGCTTATTCCGCAAAACAAGTAAAACTTAACTTGGTCAGCTTTTTGTAAATGTCTCTGATAATCAAAAAGAGACCTAAATCAGCTTCCTAAAAATGGTATAAGATAATCACTTTTAACAAATCCTCTGCATCTGGAAGCCCCATCTTAATAGCTAGTCATTGAAAATGTTAAGACAACTTTCTCATCCTGTAATGTCAGGCCCCTGTGTTTCATATCAGTCTTTGAATTTGAAAGCTGCCTATTCCCAAACTGCTCTTCTATGCACATTCAACTCTAACTAAATACTATTCACTAATTTGGTGGTTTTCTTTTTGCTGTTTCTGGATTTTTGGTAGTGCCTTTGGACCAGCTGTAGACTGTGTACTGTAAGCATACCTTGGATTCCAGTGAGAAAAGACTGTTTTTTCCCCTAGATCCCACTTGTGCTAAGAAGGCCATTTCATTCAATGAAATAGTTGCACGGAACTTGTTTTAACGCTGTATACTCTGCCACAGTTCATGGTATCAAGCCATTGTTTTGGGAGTTTGATGTGTGCCAGTGAAAAAATTAGGCATCCTCTGGACTATAAAGACTGAGATTCAGCAAAACTTTGTGTAGGGCATTGTCGTGCAGTCTTGCCTGTCCCCCGTCAGACCTAGATCTGCATGTGTCCAGGCAATAGCAGAGCTGCATGCCCTGCTCCTTTACCTGTCAAAGGCACGTGGCAGGGGCTGATGACGGTCTGTAGTTTGTGTGGAGGGAGAAGCGAGTGACCTTTGGAGGGCATTGTAGTTCGTTCTGCAGGAATAGGAGAAAGAGGAAAATGGTGAAGGACAGGCAGTAGAATATGGCTAAAGCTGACAGCCCTGGTTAGTATCCGCCAGGATCTCATTCAGGTCCTCTGCCAGCCTGATACATCTTATTCTCTAATTTCAGAATGGAGCCTTGTGTCCAGTCACTGAAGCTTCTGGACCACAGCAGAGGTTAGATTGGGGCCCCAGGGCTCTGCATCAGAAGCCTGAATCTTTGAACCCAACCAGCTGTTTTAATATTGAATATTTTTAAGGTTTTTGATAAGACAGTGCTAACTGAAACTTTATTCACTAGTATTAATTG